CCATAGCATTCACCCCTCACTGTCAAGGCCTGAGGGTGATCAGCTGCCTCTTGAGGAAGTCCAGAGAAATAGAACTATACCCTGGAGTCCAACTAATAAAGAGACACACAGGAAATGAGGCCACGTGGGGTTTCTTCCACAGAGCCCAGTATTTGTATTAGAAGAGCAGGAGATGTCAGTTTTATTTTCTGAAGACTGTGTCCTGGGTAACTTGGAGATGAACTTAGCTCTCCTGACCACAGTTTTCTCCGGCTTCCCATAAGTACCCCAACACTGGATCCTCCTCCCTATATGCTTCATTAACAGCTCCCCAACTCCTGTGAAATCGCAAATGGGAACCCATAAAGGTCTGGGGCTGTGACTTTCTAAGAAGCCAGCACAGAATCAATCCTTTGCTTTTTGAGGGCATTCTCATAGTCTACACAGACTTTTATTAGCCTCGTGTCTTTAGAAGTCCTTGGTTACAAGCCACAAAAATAGTTTCTTGCTTTCTTAAGCCAAAAGGAATTTATTGGAAAAACCCTGAGAAGTTCATAGTCTCGGAGGCAAACGTGGAAAATCAGATCATGGGAAAGACGGAACGGGGCAACTCTGGACAGCAGAACTCTGTGACTTGTCTCCTGAAGATGGTGCCTTCACAGGAGACTCTGATTCAGACACCTACAGCTCCCCAGGACTATCGAAAATTCAGATTTCCATGAGAGTGTCTGATTATGGGTTTGAATGCCAGCCCTGCCTCATACCAAGGGTGGGTTCTGACTGACAGCCCCACCTTCATCACACAAGTTAGGAAAGAGCAGCTCCTCCAGGAAGGGCTGCTGAACAGAAAAACAAAACAAAACCAGATGTCCACTATAAACATTATATTTAATAGCAACCTCCACTAATACATTCAAAGTCCGCCTCAGTTTTCCAAAGTTCATGTCATACAGAGTTCTCTTTCCATATTAGCTTCTTGAAAACTGAAGCCCCGTCAGAAACATGTGGGCTTTTTATGGTACCCACACTGACCTTGCCTCTCTACCAGGTCTATTTTATGTTTTCAATGTTACTTTTCTTTCTAGATTGCCGTGTTGGAGGATGTGTGTGCATGTGTGTGCTTGCGTACATTTGCGTGTGCATTCGTGCGCATCTGTTTCTGGAGTAAGTCCGAGCATAAATGAGCAGATTATCCACGACTCTGCAGGAATGTGTGATGCTGTAGGATGAAGCTTGCCTCTACTGACTGAGGGTTTTCCATTGGAAGTCTGGAAACCAATGGTTACAAAGCTGTCGTGGCACAGTGTCCACATGGTGCTCAGTTTTTGGTGCTTTCCCAGAGTCACCGAATGTAAACAAGCTATAGCAAACTTTGCTGCATAGTACTCCTGTGTGGGGACCACAGTGTGACAGATTGTGACGCGGCCAGGACAAGAGTGAGCGGGAAAGAACCCAAGAACAAAGGCTAGTTGGCTAAGGCAATGTGGGGCAGGGCTCCATTCCGGGGTTACTTTCCAAGTGACCTCAGCTGAGCTCTCTTTCTGGAGGAGATGGTCTGGCCTGGGAGCACCAAGGAAAATCTGGCGGTGCCTAGGGGAGTTAGAGAGTAGCCAACAGCCACGAGAGCCAAGAATGGGCTGGAGAACTCTGGTGAATTTCCCAGAGTCCCATGGCAACCAGCTTTTGACTGAAGAAAGGCTGAGGTTGTAGAGAAAGACACTAGGTTTGCCTGCTGCCCTCCAGAGAACCCCAGCTCCACCCTCTGACCTCTGTTAAGCTGGCATTCCGTCTGTGAGCCTGGTGAGACTTGGGGGCGGGGTACACTTCCCATGGATTCTGGTTGCAGAGGGCAGTTCCCCACCCACTCTGCCCTGCTCAAACAGAAGGCAGCAGTCAGAAACCTACAGCAGGCAGCCCTGAGGGCTCTCACTGGCATCCCTGCCCACTGCTCTTGCACATGGCCCCATACCACGTGCAGCAGAACAAGGAGCCTCTTCCAGTTCTCTTGGTGTGAGTGCCCACAGCTATGTTTCTGCTCTAGCTCAAACCCCCTGATTGGTCCAACACCTGGACCAGCACATGGACTGACCATGACCACCCCTTGTCTACTTAGCCATGGCTAGGAGAAATCCTTTGGGATCACAGAAGAGCTCAGTAAATATTATTTTATTGAGTTGTTAGTTCTGGCCTTTCCTTTAGCTTAAAAGTCACAGAAAGAACCCTCAAAGCCTTCTTGGGCCCAGATGGATAAGGATTCCTGTACCCCAGGGCCATAGAGCTCAATATTCTGAGGAGAGGAGGTGTGTTTGGACCCCTGGTGAAAAGCAGTTGTCTGTGCTGGGGTTCCCTAGAGGTACATAACTTATGGAATGGGGGGGTTTATTCGATGGCTGTGGTTCAGCTAGTCCAACAATGGCTGTTTCCCAATGAAAGGGCTAGGAATCCAATAGTTGTTCAGTTCACAAGACTCGGTGTCTCAGCTAGTCTCCAGTATACACTGAAATCCCAAAGAAGTAGGCTCTAATGCCAGTGAAGTAATGGACTCCTATTGTTAGGAATGAGAGAATAAGAGCAAGCTGGAGAGAGAGAGAGAGAGAGAGAGGCTGCCAGCAGAAGGTGTGGCCCAGATTAAAGGTGGATCTTCCCACCTCCAAAGATCTGGATTAGAGATGGGTCTTTCCTCTTCAAATGATTTAATTAATAAAAAAAAAAATCCCTCACATGTGTGCCCAGCGATGTGGTGTAGTTAATTTCAGATGCAGTCAAGTTGATAACCAAGAATAGCTACCACAGCCGTGCTCTGTGCCTTTGAAAGGACTTTCCCAAGCAGATGCCTATGCAGCACCCCCTAGGACCCTTGAGCATAACTCTGGAAACAGATCTAGGCTCAAGGAGTCACCTGAACCCTTTAAGATTGTTCAAGACCAGTTTGGGCACTGAGACGACAGACTGGATGCAAGGCCTTATCTATTGGCCATTTTGACTCTTCCCTGGGCGCTACAGGCCTTTGCCCTTCAGGTTCCCCTGGACCCTGAAGGAGCTTGCTTGCCTTTGCTCATCTGTCTTTTCCAGTCAACATGGACTGAATTTTTCACCTTTCCTCGACGCCACATCTGAACCACCCTTCCACAGGAAGATCCCTGTCCTCCCCTGTGACCGTCCCCGCTCCCAAACTTGTTCAGCTGTCTTAACACATGTTGTATCAGGACACTTCAAGGCCTCTCGTTCTCATTTACTCCTTAGCCTGGTTGTTTTTGGAAAACATTTCTTGTCCCTGTCAGAGCTCAGCAAGGACTGTAGTGGATAAATGTGCTGATGGTTACCAGAAAGCTTTGATTTTGGTCAGACAATAGGACCTTTACATTAAAAAAAAAAAAAAACTTATTCATGTATTTGTGGGCACATGTACTATACTATGTGTGTGCTATAATACACACATGTGGAGGTCAGAGGACAACTTGTGGGTGTCACCTCTCTCCTTCCCCATAAGGATCCCAGGGACTGGATTCACTGAACTCAGATCCTCGGGCTGATGGCCACACCATTACCCTTTGAGTCGCTCCGCCCTCTCAATAGCCCCTGATACCCTTCAGGCTTATTCCACCCTTGTAGCCCTCACTACTGACTGAGGAATTCTTCTCTGCCTCCACACACCCTAGCGCCATGTTGACCCCTCCACCTCACAATGGCCGCTTCTGTTGTGGAGGGGCTGCTTTCTTCCATGATGCACTTTCAGAACAGAAAGGACCTTCACAGGGATGCCCTTTTGGTCACAGCTTTCCTGCAGGACAGACCATCCCACCCTCTGTGGCTCTGCGGGAGACATAGTCTTGACTCAGAGGGGCCATGGCCCCTATTCTTTTCTTCTCTCTTAAATTCTTAGAGCAAGTGACTGCTTCTGGCTCCCGGACCTTGCTGCCTTTTGACCTCTGAGGAAGGCAGTCTACCTTTGTGTCTGTGACACCCGAGCCAGTGGTCAAGATGGATAGGAGGCTGCAGAGAAAGCTGGGAGGCCTGACAGGAACTGAACCTCTCTCCCATAGGGAACTGCTGACTGGAATACAGCGGCCCCCGAGGCAGCTCCTGGCATCAAGCATCAAAGACTTGTAACGTGAATCTCAAGAACATCCCAACACAGCTCCCAGGCCAGGCCAGCAGTGGGTGCAGCCTGAACAACAGTGCTGAGGGACCATACCCAAGAGGAGTGACACTGGCTGGCAGATACTTGAAACATTTGATGCTGGGCTCCCAAAAAGGCCATGTGCTTCCCTGAGTGTCTCTCCTGAGCCTCCCAGTGAAACAACTTCAAATGGTGGGGGCAGAACCGGGTGGGACGTCTGTGTCATGCCTGTATCTTGCCACGTACCAGCTAGTCTCATTGGTGAAGGTGGGACCCCCCTGCCTGTGCTAAGGCACACTGGACGTTAGAGCCTTCTTCTAACCCCCATGTGGCACAGTTGGCCTTTCTGTTTTGTAGAGGCTTGTCACAGCAGGCGGGTTACACGCACATCCCCTGATGAGAAAGTCTCTTGATGCTGCACACAGTCATTGTAAAATCTCTGCTCCAAGAACTTACAAGTTCGCATAACTTTCCTTGGATTTAAGTTCTTTTCTTTTCTTTTTTTCCCTCTGACTCAATTTTTGTATGGGTCTCCCAAGAGAAGTTACTAGGGTGTAATAGAAGAACCAGACCGGTGCCAAGCTTGGGTTTGAGCTGTTTTTCTGCACCCCAATAAACATACATGGGAGCCGAGGTTGAAGCTGGCCTGTCTGACCCTTAGGTGCCATTTCTAGGCTACTCTCTCCCCAAGAGAGTTCCAAGAGGGAGGGTTTGGCTTCCCAACTCAAGTCATGGAGTCCTCTCCCAGGGGTAGGAGGAGGGGGGAAGGGAGTGAAGGCATTGCTGGCTCTTTTTCTCTGGAGAACCAATCTGACCAGAAGCCGCATGCTAAGCCACATTCCAACCCCCAGGAAGCCTTCCAACTCCCATTGTCCAAGGCTTGGAGGGTTTGGTCACCTACCATGCTTGATGCTTCTCTCTGAGTGCGATTTCAAGCAGGACGTCTCAGGAGCCGCATCTGGAGGAGAGCAGGTTGTCAGGGTGTCTCCTTCCGGGACTCAGACCCCAAGCTCTGGATGCTTGCTGACTTGGCTGTGCCTGTGCACCCAGTGAAGGACCTGGTCCTGACTCCTGTCACTTCGGTTGGGAAAGCAGCCACCTGAGACAGCAGGAGGCCATGTGACCCAACAAAAGAAGTGGATCACTCTACTTTCTCTTAGTTTATCTGTCCTCCTGTTGCTTCAGGCTCCTCCTGGGTCAGCGGCTGCCCTCTTTCACCTGTCCCTCACACCAACCCAAGCCTCCTGCTCTCTTCCTGTCTCTGTGGACCATTTCCAGAGACCTGGGGGCAGAATCTCACTTTTTCCTTCTCTCTCTCTCTCTCTCTCTCTCTCTCTCTCTCTCTCTCTCTCTCTCTCTCTCTCTCTCTCCCGCGCCTCCCTGCCCCAGTCCGCCCTCTTTCTTTCCTCTTCCCTCTTCCCTCTTTTCCTCTCCTTCCAAGAACCTGCCATTTCACCGNATTTCCAGAGACCTGGGGGCAGAATCTCACTTTTTCTCTCTCTCTCTCTCTCTCTCTCTCTCTCTCTCTCTCTCTCTCTCTCTCTCTCTCTCTCTCTCTCCTGGGCCTCCCTGCCCCAGTCTGCCCTCTTTCTTTCCTCCTCCTTCTGGTCTTGTTTCCTCTCCTTCCAAGAACCTGCCATTTCACCGAAAGTTCCATTTGTGGCCATGGTTATTTTCATGTTTCCCATTCTAACATCACCGAGGAATGTCTGACGTCATCTCCACAAGAGAATCCAATAGCCAGCCGCCCCACTTACTCTCTCCTTTCTTTACGAGAATTTGCTCAGTCTTGACTCTGATTATTTAAACACAGCTTTCTCTGTGTGTGCCTGGAACCCTGCTCTCCCCTCAGTGTCTTGCAATGTGTTGCTTCAGAAACAACAGATGCAGGTCTCAAAAGACATAGCTCATTGCTTCCCAGCCTCTTCTCCATCTATATTAGAATCACCTAGGGAAATGTAACATTCCTATCCTCACACCTTACGGCAGTTAAGTCAGAACGTCTAGGTGTGGGAGCCAGCCTCCAGCAGACTCTCCATGATTCCAACCAACAGCAAAGATTGGGGGAACTGCTGATATGTAGAGAACCGTGCTGAAGGGAGCAGAGCCTGTAGCAGACTGGATAGACTCTACAGAGCTTGGGGGATGTGAAGAGAGAGAGGAGGGCGCAGGACCCCTTCCAGGTACACCTGAGCTCTCCCAGCCTGTGTCTCTGGGAGGGCTGATCATCAGTCCGAGAGGCATTCTTCTTTCTCAGCAGAGGGTGTGATTTCGAGCAAGGTGCCTCAGAAGCTCTATTTCCGGGAGTCGTGGATCTGGAGGAGAGCTAGGAATCAGGGTGTCCCCTTTCGGGATGCAGCCCCTGAGCCCTGGATGCTTGCTGACTTGGATGAGCCTGGTGAAGGACCTCGTCCCGGCTCCTGTCAGTCATTTCAGCTGGGAATGCAGCCATCAAGGGCAGCAGGAGGCCATGTGAACCAATGTTCACAACAATCTCTGTCGACTTTCAAAGTGGCAGTCACAGAAGATGGAAGCTGCAGTTGGGGTACCAGTGGCAGAGCCTGGATGTCCTTAGCTCCAGCTACTTGGACAGGCATCTTCATAGAGGGCTCTCAGATGCCTATGTGGATCCTTCTAGAGGCCTGCTTAAACAGATTACTGGGCCTAGCCAGCCTCAGGGTCTGTCTTGGTTACTTGTCTATTGCTGTGATAAGGCAGGGTTTAATTTGGGGCTTATGGTTTCAGAGTCCATGACCCTCATGGAGGGGAGTGTTACATCAGGCAGCAGACCTGGCATCAGGGCAGTATCTAAGAGCTCACATCTAGAGATGCAACCATGATGCAGAGAGAACTAACCGGGAATGGCATCATGGGCATTTGAAACGTCAAAGCTCCACCACAGTGACATACTTCCTCCAGCAAGGCCTCTTCCAGTGACACACTTCCTCCAACAAAGCCACACCTCCTAATCCTTCCCGCAAAGTTCCACCATCTGGGGGCCAAGTATTCAAACATATGAGTCTGGGGGGGGCTATTTTCATTCAAACCACCGTCTGACTCAGTAGGTTTGGGTTGGGATCCTAGGAGTTGCCTTTCTAGAAAGTTCTCAGGGGCTGTAACTGCAGAGCAGCTTCTAACCTGCCAGACAGAAGGCAGAGGGAAAAGGCAGGAGGAGGAAATGAGAAGAGGAAGGAAAAGCAAAGTGAAGGAAGGCCCATCTGTTGAGGGAAGGCTGAGCTCTTTCTCTGCCAGTCCTGTGTCCGTGCAGGACCCCATGCACTCTGCACTCACTGTTAGTGCTCTGTGACCATTAGCATGTGGTGGCATGTAGACACACGTGGTGGCATGTAGACACACGTGGTGGCATGTAGACACACGTGGTGGCATGTAGACACACGTGGTGGCATGTAGACACACGTGGTGGCATGTAGATACACGTGGTGGCATGTAGACACACGTGGCAAATGCCAGTTGATGGTCTATTCTTCTGGAAAGACAATGTATGTTTTGGCTCTGTAAAGACACAACATGATTCAAACTACTAGCTTAGCATGCCCCAAATCCTGTGTCCAGAGCACGCTGCCCACACAGCAGTCCTGGACCTAACACAATGGCTGAGACTATGACAGGGTTCCTGCCTATCTGAACATCACTGCCTTACAGGAATTATGGGTATCTTACAAACACCTACTTCAGAGGTGTTGAGAAGGAAAAAAAAAATCCAATTTCTGTGAGTTCAATTCTCCTTCTGGGTTGCTTCTCTTCTGCTGGTCTGAACCAGACTATAGCTCCTGGGGACAGGAATTAGTCCCGTGTGCTGACAGCTGCAATGCACCTCTAGAGGAGCCCAGGGGCATGGTGACCCACGGAGCCGTTTACAACAAAGGTCTCAATGCTTCAGCCTCCTCCCTGCCTAAGCTGTTGAAGATGAATTTCCAGTTCCTTCCCACTGATGGCTTGATGGGAAGGGCCTGGCTGGTGGTATGGGGGCCGTTGGATTTTGTCTTCTAAGAGACTGCCAGACTCAACAGGGCAATGTGCTGGTCTGATGAGAAAAATGTGCCTTAGCAGAGGGGAATTCCAGCAACTTGAAAGCAGAGGCAATGTGGTAAACACACCAGTTATATCCTGGGAGCAGTAGTCAAATGGGGGAGTGAACTCTGCGGCTATGGTAAGACCCTGGTCAGTGAGCCTCCCACTCCCAGATCTCTCCTGGGATCAACTTGTTCTCTAACTTTATTCTTTTAGGCTGACCAGCAACTTTTGGAAGTTGTCTTTTCTTCTGTGGGAACAGAGGGTGACCACACGGAACCAGGGAAGAGGCAATGTTTAAAGAGTATTGTCTAGTCTCTCTGCAGTTTCCCACAACCCAATGCAAGATGTTCGAGCCTGGTGCAGCACTTAAGAGTCTGTGGTTAAAGGTTCACATTCCAGGGCCATGTCTTCTATCCCACTGTCTGTGAGGAGACATCCGAGCATCCCCACCAGCTCTCCTGGTGCTCAGACAGTGGAGTGGCCACAGAGACTTGAGAAGCCAGGCTGGACACCTGGAAATGGAAGTCAGAGATGGAGTCCGAGGCTCTGAGTCCTTCCTGGGTACCTAGTTCACTGTTTACAGAATTATGGGTTATTTCTGTAACCAATTGGAGACAGACTTTTTCAAATTGGTCTGACAGGGTTCTTCCTCTAAGAGAGCACAGGTTTCCAGAGTCTTGTAAGCAGTCAATTTTATAAAATGACCCGTTTATTACTATACTATGTTGCACTTACAGTAGGACAGATCCTTTGGTGCTGGACCAATGTATTGCTTGATTGGTAATCTCTCACCATCTCATGGTCCAACACCCTCACCAGGAGATAATTCTGCAAGGAGAACTCTTCACGCAGGGAAACGTGATCAGAAGAGCAGGCAGCGGATGCATGTCATGTCCCACTGTGAAACTCATACAGATGGAGACCACAAAGGCCAATGTCCAGGGGAGGCAGAGCAACAGCTGCTCTCCACGCAGACAGCACTGACTGGGTGTCTTCTAAGGGAGTGAGTCACCCACAGCAACCTCAGCACCACTGGACCCTTGCCTTTGAGTGATGTTCCCCTGTCTGAGCATGTATCGCTTGGTTTCTTTCTCTCAGCTTTGTCACCTGTTGTCATCCTTTATGGATGGCCTCTAAGGGCGACTGGCAATGTAGAAGGCTATGACTTTATAATCCTTAGGCTTAATGTCAAACTTGCAGCTTCACTAAATGTACTAGTCGTGAGATCCTGAGCCAGTTAATCCCTTCTGTTTCTTTGTCTGTGATGTGTGTGGATAATGATGTCTATGACTAAGCTGATATCTTTTAAAAATTCTTTGGCGTTTATTTTTCTATAAGTATATATATATTTTCTCTGCATGTATGTGTATGTATATGCCTTGGATTCCCTGGAACTGAAATTGGAAATAGTTGTGATTTGCCATGTGGATTCTGGGAAAAGAACCCCAGCCTTCTGGAAGAAGAGACAGTGCTCTTAACCACTGAGCCATCTTTCCAGGCTGACTGACCGTTTTAAAGCTTATCTATAATGCCTATCACAATGTCTGGCTGAAGGTTACATCTTCAATAGGCAACAGCTATCACCACTAACTGAACTAAGGAAGGATTCTCTTCTAGTGTTTGTACTGATCATATCACATGGACGCGATGCAATGAACCGTGGTAGATTTTGTGGTAAGCAAAACACCAGATCTGAGCCTCTATCTGAAAAGGAATAGTCAGAGAAATTGCAGGGTCACAACAGAAGAGTCCTCTGTTCAAGATACCATGTACTGTGCAACCAAGTGACCTTTGCAACTGTCTTTCAAGATTCTAAAACTGGCTTGATCTACATCCCACATAGAGTCTGAAGTCAATGACTGCGCTAAACTGCTGTCAGTCCACAGAGACTAGCTTCATTCGCGGCGGCACTGACATCCCAAGCTGGGGAAGGGCTTTTGGTAGAGACTGGATCTGTAGTTAGGTAACCCTGATGATGCGGATGTTAAGGTACAGATTTTAGATGATTCTACTCCTTGATGTGATTGTAGTTCAAATGTCTGGACACAACAATAAAGGAAAAGTTTCTTGGCCCATCCTGGGAAAACAGTAGAAAGAAGCTTGGTGTTTCATTTCAACACACACAAAACACAAACCCTCTTTAGCTTTCCCTTCCCATTACTAACTACTAACATTGAAATTCCTTTGTTTTGTCTTTCTACAGACAGACAGACCAAGTTTTAAAACTCTTTATTTGGATCTTAGAGAAAGAACAGGTATTGCATTATAAAGACTTATTGGAGAGTACGAAATAGTCTGCTGCCATTGTTTATTGTAAACGGACATAATTATTAAAGAAGAGAACAATATATCTTCCCCCATTCCTTAGACACATGGTGAGACAGGCTCTCACGTAGCCCAGGCTGACCTAAACTCCTGATCTTCCCACCTCCACCTCCCAAGGGCTAGGACTCTAAGCATACTCCACCATGCCTGGTACCAGCGAAGGAAGTCATAGCTTCAGGCGTTCTAAGCAAGCACTCTTTCATCTGAGCTACCTATCCACCTCCCAACATCCCTAAATGACCATCGATACAGTTCTACTGGCTTTAGCTGAGCCTTATTACCATGAGGAGGGGGGAAAATCTAGAATCTCAAAGACTAGTAGTGTTTCGTAGCTTTCGACATCTCCTGAATCCTGGCAACTACTCAGAAACCAGAGTGATAATTACTACAGGTCAATCGATACACACTTGCCATGAAGTCAATCTACTAGTTCAGTCTGGGATGAGCATACTGGGGAAAATGCCATGCTTCCTGGTTTACTTAACTACAGTCAGTTAACTGAGGACAGAAAACACATCAGTGTGGTATTTGTTGACCTTGACAAGTAACTTATTTATTCTTTAGTTCTTAAACCCAATATAAGTTAAGTCTTTTCATGCACTAAATCTGCAATGCTTAAGGTTAGTGGAACACAGGGTCATTCTGTGACACTGGCTAGCCAGGACATAACTCAGTAAATGTCCTAACCACACAGGCTTCTCATTCCTTTTTTCATAGATCTATGCGTACCTGACAGATATTGCTGGAGGTTCTAGTAATATCCAAAATAAACTATGTTTTAAGCTTAGTTATTAAAAATATAAGCTAATAGAATACTAATAGAATTTTCTTAGGCAGGAGAAAATGGTATTTCTTCTATGTGCATAGTTCCTTTTGGACTCTGGTGATATCACATAGGTAGTCCAGAAATTATTTAAAAATCACCCGTGATTCCTGTAGCGGGGGCTGGGGAGGAACATCTCCTCCAAGTGCTAGGAGGGTGGAAATAACAATGTCTTCATTCCATTATGTTTCTTCTGTGCTCTATGTTTTTTTCTGTTAAAATTATGACACAGTATATTCATATTAGCAGGAAAAAAATATTACTTACATAAGTTCAAATGGCCTACAACTGATGAAAAGAACATGTGGGTACAGAAAATGGGGTCTGTAGATGGCAGAAATGTCTATCAATTGTGGAGAGATGCGGCGTGCTTGGGGGTGGATTCCTGTGATGGAGCTACCGTATGAGTGTCTCACTTAAACACGCAGGTCTATCTGTGTACCTGCTGAAGGAAGCAGTTAGCCCCTCCGGCTGAGGTGGGAAGAATGCCTCCACAGGTGGGCACCTCCATGAGTTCAGACGAAAGGGGAGGGCTTGGGATCAGACCCTGGCTCTCTAGGCCAAAGGAGTTCAAGAGACTGCGCCTCAGAGCCCACTGAAGCAGAAGCTGGACTGGAAGCTTTCGGTGGGGAAGGAGGTCACACAGTCCCCCGGGTCGTCCGTGTAGGACATTTCTGTCACATTTCAGAGTACAATGACAAGACTGAAATACAGTCTTACATTTGTGAAACTGTGGGGGTTCTCCCTTGTTAAATGTTCTAGTCGTGGCAGCCATATCCAAGAGCGTACCGCTAAGGTGACTATTGGGGAATATTTGTCCAGGACAGAGATTCGGGCCAGCAAGACTGACAGGACAGTGTCTCTCTAAAGATGAGAGAAAAGTCAGTTTGAATCCCAGTTCCTTCTCTGCTTTTAAGTAACAGCTTTTTGGGAAATTTTAGGAAAGAATCGCATGATGCTGTCACTTCCAAGTACGTCCTTGTCTGCTTCTTTATTATTACCGTTTTTTATTTATGTGCATGTGTTTGTGTGAGTGAGTACCATGTGTGTGCAGATGCCTATGGAGGCCAGAAGAGGGCATTGGATCCTCTGGAGCTGGAATTACAGGCAGTTGTGAGCAGGAGCTGTGCCGTGAGTGTTGGGAATGGAACTTGGGTCCTCTGGAAAAGCAGCAAGGACTCTCAACAACTGAGCCATCACGCCAGTCCAGTGTCTACTTCTTGTTAACAAGAAAGGTGAAAAGAAGCCAACTTTGTGCTGCAACTTCATAAGAAAGAAATTAGAAGGCTGCCCTGAACCTATAACCATGGGACTCTGGCCAGTGGTCTAAGGCGAAGCTGCTGTACTCCACACGTGGCAAGAACAACATCTGTCCCCAAGCTCCTTTCTCGTCGTCTCTTAACTGAAAGCAGGCTTACGTTCCATTCTAAGGGAGCTGTTCTCTGAGCTAACCCCAGAGAGAAGCAGTTCTGACTCAGCAGTTAACAGGAGGAAACATCCACTTACTTCCACTGAATTTCAAAACTGGGGACTTGGAAACACATGAAGGACCCCCTGCCAGCCTCTGTCCTCACTTCCCAGCATCTCAGTACCAACAGTCCAGGGCACAGAACCATCTAGTAACAGGTGGATGACTTCCTGGGAATGGAATTAATTTAAGAAGCAGATTTACTTATTTTTATGTGTATCAGTGTTTTGCCTGTACATGTGTGTGTGTGCCATGTGTGTGACTGGTGCCTGCAGAAGTCAGGAAAAAGCATCGGATCCCCCTGGAACTGGAGTTACAGATGGCTGTGACCTGTGAACTGAACCTGGGTCTTCTGGAAGAGCAGTAAGTGCTGTTAACCGCTGAGCCAGCTCTCTAGCTCAAATTTATTTAATTTTTCATAATCTTGCAAAATCACATTTCAAAACTTAATAAGTTAAATATATATATATATATTATGTACACATATAGCTCCTATATTTCCAGGCTATAGCCCCCCAAAGGCAATCTCATCAAAATAAAAAATAAAACCTGAATGTCTGCTCAGTTGGTTCCAGTACAGCAGCTTTCCTTTCCAATGGGCCCGAGCTAGCATGCAAACATTAAGATAAAAACTGCTGCATGCACAGATGGTAGCTCTTTCAGCAAATTAAACAGCAGGATGTGTCTGCGCATCTGCCAAGTGCCTTTCCCTTGTTTCCTGAAACTACCCTGAGGAGGACCGCATTTCTCATCCCTCAGGATGGACTTAGAGATGGGAAGGACAAGACTGGAGGGCTAGTGAGGGCAGAGATGGCAAGGCTCCAAGGCTCCAGAGTACTTTTGGACAGCCCTTCCCAGCTCCTGTGCTGTATGTCTGCCTGCTCTTTGGCTGTTCTTCGTCCCAACCATCATCCCCAATGTCACTTGTCGGAGAGGCATCAGCTTTAGTAAGTGTGACACTACAGAGGCCTTTGGTCTGAGGAACTGGTAGAATGAAGACAACAGAGCAGAGATGCAAAAGGCAAGAGGCCCCCAGATGGCTTCTTCTTGTGTGCTACAGCGGGACGGAGAGGTACCACTGGAATCACGTCAGATATTATTGGTGTCTTCCAGCAGGTCAGTAGGGGGAATAATGATGCTGCCACTGCCTACAGCCATGACCACACCCTCTCTTTGGGTTCCTTCACAGGCTGGGAGGAACAAGGCCACAGGGTATCCTACCTCCCTCACAAATGGCTACCCCTGAAAGTATTCCATGTATTTGCTATCTATTCCTTGGTACCCATTAGAAGACCAGTTCCCAGGGAAAACATCTGCAGTTCACCAAGGAGCCCATCAGGATGAACTGTGGCACTGAATTCCAACAGTTTGCCCTGTAGAAGAAGGAGGCAGCTGTACTCCTGGAACCCCAGATTCCCAGGTAAAACAGCAAGAGTGGCCCTGCCCCAAGATCATCTCACTAGCTTGGAGGACAGCAACAATGTCCAGAAAATGGTTGTTGGTGAGGGGCTAGGCACCATGGGGTCACAGGCAGAAAACAAGCAGATTGCATACAACCTTTGAGGGTTGTGTGGACTGGAAAGGAAACACCTGACAAAGGCTTGCAAGCCAACCGTGAAAATTCTATCAAAAGCTCTGAAGGAGTTCTCACTTCAGAAGGACGGCAGTGCACAGGAAGAGTGGGAGTCCCGGCATCCATTTCTGTGGATTTACCAGGGTACAGTGTACAGCACAATATGAAAGCTGCTTGCTATGGTAAGGGAACAGGCAAAATACAATGACATGTATGTGAACATAACTTTTGATTTTCATTTTATTTTATTGTTTTGAGATGGTCTCTCTATTTAGCTTTGGCTGTCCTGGAACTCAATAAGTAGACCAGGCCAACCTTAAACTCAGAGGCTGCCCTGCCTCCTAAGTGGTGCTAACATTAAAGGCATATGCCCAACTATAGCTTTTTTTTTTTCTTCTTTCCTTCCTTCTTTGCAAATTTTGCCACAATATGTCACAGCCTCTCAGTGGGAATCCATGCTTGCTGTGTGCATAGTCAGTTTTTAAGGGAAAACTCTCTAGTCTTGCTTAAATCTGAAGTCACCTCCAAGGTCCGTTGCCGAGTTTGGTTTCACAGGAGTGTGTCCTAGGCTGAGGATTCACAATGAAAGGGAAGCATTTGCCCTGAGGTCCTTAGGATCTGTGCTGATGGCAGCACTCCAAGAGAAAAAGGGAGCTGTGGCTCTAAACTTACACTGCCCATCTCAGCTCCCAGTGTTTAAACACAAGTGTACACGGATCACCGCCTCTCCTGTACTCCACAACTGGCCTTCTCTCGCCTTCTTCCAGTGTGCGGCTCACTCTCAGACCCCACGACAGTTATTTGTTCAGGGCTGAACCACAAATCACAAGTAAAAATAAACTTTACCAACCGGGGACAATCCTTTTACCCAAAATTCCAAACTGTTTTGACTCTTTGTGGGATGTTTTTGGCTGTTTAGCTTTTTGAAATGTGTTTTTTCAAGTGTAATATTCAGAATGAATTTGAGTTGAAGGAGAGAGAAAGCCAATTGGTGGAAACCACATGAGCATGTGTTCTAAAGCTTTAAATGAAAATCGCTTTACTGTGCAAGGAAGTGCAGTGGACAAAAGAGGAGGTGGGTGGCATCTGAAGGAAGACTAAGAACAAACATATCCGGTAGGAAAAGCAGTGCGGAAAACTCAACAGAATACCAACACCAGGCGACACGGCTGCACTGCCGAGAGCACTGCTCTCTTGCTAGCATGGTCCACACAGTGGGCAGACGGTGAAAATCAGAGCAGCTTCTTGTTCTTGTTCTCTTTCCCTGAGTCGCAGCACAAGGCAGTTCTCCCCTTGCCATGGGGCAGAGAGCAGCACTCCTCACCGGCTCTTCATCCTCTGCTTTCTTCCCAGTGCAGCTGGGGTACTACTGTAACGACTCAGGAATGGTGCTGACCACATGGGTCGTCTCTGTGGCTGTGGGAGGGGGACCAAAGAAGGTGTTGGTTTGGTTCCTCTGATGATCTCGGAGGTAAGGAGGAACAGAGGAGCTTTTGATGTGGAGGATCCTGGTGTCCATCACCTGACAGTCAATCTGCATCATCACTTCATAGTCCTGCCCATTGATCACGTTATCTAGAGAGCAGACACAGGGATAGACAGTCAACAGGGTGCGAGCCATCACTACACTTTCAAGCATGGACAGGAGTTTATTAGTTCTTTCCTCAGGTCTAGTTCTCCAAGGGTCTTCTGTGGTTCAGTAAGAGTTGTGCCCTTACCTCCATCTGTAGAGACTGAGACACCAGATAGCTGAAGACATCGGTCCCAACAAGGAAGACACGGTAAGGCCTTCCTTAGACCCTTTATTTCACTGGAGTCCTTGTTTAAGGATCACTTACATTTTGTGCTTTCGTTGCTCACCTGTGGTTAACCTGCACCTCCCCTGGAAAGGCTTCTGGACTCCTCACTCCACGGAGTTTTCTCTACTACGTCCCAGCCCTCGATACCCATTGTTTGTTTCTCATTCTTACTTTATTGCTCCTCCTCCTCCCCTTGTCACTACTTACATTCTCATACCTTCAAGTCTAAAACACTAGAAACGAAATGTTCCCCAATAGGTACCCTAGTACTATTGCTGCTAAACCTTATTGGGGACACAAATGATGCATACAGTGAGCATGACCCAAACTCCCAAGAACACTGGGATGTCAGCAGATGGAGGTAATTAAAGCCTAAGAGTGGAGGTCATTTACTCAATAAAATCATAGCAGAGTATATCCAAGCCCAGAGAAGGAAATGGACATCCGAATACATGAGCATTTAGAGCCCCAAAGAGCTATGACCAGACAATCTTTCCATGACACATACAATCACAGTTAAGGTGTGTTAGTGTTTCTGTTGCTGTAATAAAATACCCCAACATGGGAAACTTAAGAAAGGAAGAGTTATTCTGCCTCACAGTTCAAGGTATGTCCACCATGGAGAGGAAGCCAGGATGGCAGAAGCCTGAGGCAGCTGGTGACATTGCATCCACAGGAAAGCGTCAGACAGAGATGAATGCACGCTGCACACTGCTGCACAGCTTCTGATCTCCATTTTCACAGTCCAGAATCCCATCCAGGGAACACCCCACCCCACAGAGGGAATATGTCATCACACCTCTATTGAAGCAATAAAGAAACTTCCCATAGCCACAGCCAAAGGCCCATCTCTCGGGTTATTCTAGATTCTGTCAAACTGACAACACTGTTACAGGTGTCAAAAATGCAAAGCTAAGAAACAATATTAAAAGATGCAAGGGAAAATGCTGATTCACACACAAATGAGACATATCAGAATAACGTCAGATTTCATGTTGGCAACCCTAAAAGCCAAGAAAGCATGGAATGATACTTTAAGCCCTAATCATAAAGAACTCAAGAACATGATACCCAATAAGTTATTTCTTGACATTTCCAGATAACCACAGACTAAGGCAATCAATGACAACCTAGCCAGCATTGCAGAAACACTTAAAGGAATACTGTGCACTAAGAAAGGAGAAAGAGTCTTATCCATGAGACAAAGGAGAGCTGAGGAGTCCATTATGCACAACACAGGAAATTTCTAATACTAATGGGAGGAAGAAAATAACTACCAATAACTCAACCAACCAGAACAACCAAGGCTGGTGATTGGTGCCAAAACCACCACCAAAGCAACCAATGGAAATAGCAAGCCCCTCTCTTTAATAACCTTAAAAGCAATGACCTCAACTAACCATTGAAATAATACAGATTGATTGGATTAAAAATAAACGTCATTATTACTTGTCTCCAAGAAACATACTTGGGGTCCTGCCACACGGACGAGCAAGTATGTGTTGGAGAATGGGAGAGAAAGAGAAGTTGAGTGTTTGTGTGCTATGAAGAAAGGTGAACCTGAGATGTGACGGTGGTGAGGAACGGCCTGAAGTGAGAGGCCTATGTTGTCACCCAAGGCGCCAGCGGTGGCATGGGCGCAGAGGAGCTGATGGGCTGACCAACTCGGCTACCACCCAGGCCTATATCCAGGGCTTTAAGTTGATTTACCCCAACATCTACCCCGTTGGTCCAGTGGAACCATAGCTTCAGGATCTCCACAACTTAGGACAATAGCAGGATATCTGAGAGAAGTCTCAGTGAGGGTTGGGTACTGATGGTGTAGCAGAAACCTGAGGCCTTGAACCAGACCAATAACTCATTGCAATGAACATCTTCAAGTAAAGCTATCTGGGCAAAAGATCTACTGTGTGACAGCTTCCAATGGTGCTATGAGAGATGAGTGTGTGATAAGGGGATGGAAAAGATGGAGGAGTGGAGTGGCACATGCCCAGCAGAAATGGAGATGCAACAGCTGTGACGGGTGTGAGAGAAGGCTGTGGTTGGCAGGGGTGCAGGGTGTCACCCAGAGGGATTAGTGAGATGTTTTTGTTGTTGTGTTGCTTTTTTAACTTTTTTATTTTGTTTTGGCAGAGGGAGGTTACAAGGGTGGAGGTGGATACAGAAGAACTGGGAAGTGAGTAGGATTAGGGTGTATGATGTGAAATTCACAAAGAATCAATGAAAAATTATGTTATTAAAAAAGAGATGGAGAGAGAAAGAGAAACACAAGTCACTGGCAAAATTATCTACAAACTAAAAGTCAAAGGATGGAATCAACCTTCCCAGCAAATATCAACAGGCTGGCAGAGCTGGTAAAGTAGACTTCAAACAAAGCCTAATCAGAAGAATAAGCCAGGACCTATGAGCAAAGGGAACACATGAAGATCATACATCAGGACAAAGATGATCTCATTTCAGAGATACAAAGTTGGATCAACATGTGCAAATCAATAAATGTAACACAACATGCAAATAGACTTAAAAGACAGGAATGAATTAACCATCTCAGTACATACAGAAAAGGTACCTAACAAAAGTTCTATTGCCTTCATGATAAAAATCTTGAAGAAAGTAGAAGCAGAAGGAATATTCCATACAAAGACAATATATAACAAACCTACAGTCAATGTTATGTTAAACAGGGAAAAAGCATTTTTTCTGAAATCTGGAAAGATATATGAGTGTCTTCTTTCTTCTCTCATTCAATAGAATGCTCAAAGTCTTAGCTAGAGCAACAAGGAAAGAAATAAAAGGGTTATAAACAGCAAAGTGACTCAACTGACCCTATTTCAGGTGACACCATTCTCTACATAAAAAAAAAAAAAACTATGGGTTTCACTTCTCAAGGTACAGTGAAGATGACAAGACCCTTAGATCTGTGTTTTCAGCAATGGAGCAGGATGCAAAATCAACCTGCTAAAATCAGTAGTTTTCCTATATACCAATAACAATGAATTTACCAAGAAAGAAACTAGGAACAATTATTCCATTCAAAATAGCCTCAATTACAACAGTAAGAAAATCCCTAGGAGTATGTCTAACCAAGAAGGTAAAAGGACTCTATAATCAAAATTCTAAGACATTAAAGAAAGAAGCTAAATATACTAGAAAATATAAAGACTGTCCATGTTCATAGATTAGCAGAATATTATGAAAATGGCTATATTGCCAAATATAGTCTATGATATACTATGTGTATCTATATAGACCATATGCATAGTGTATCTATAAAGTTTTATTTAGAAAATGTATAGCTGATTGAACCTGTTTATGCATCTCCACCCTTTGTATTTCTGGTGGAAACCACTTGGGCTCTGCCTTGAAACCAGCTTGATAAGTCCTTTACTAAGTAGCTCCTGAAGGGTTGTACATTTCAAAAAAGAAAACTTTATTAAATCAAAGCAAAAACAAAAAGTTTCTGCACAGCAAAGGAAATTATCAGCATATTAACCCTCCCACCTAAAAACTTTGCCAGCTATACTTCAGACAGGGTTGGTATTTAGAATATATTAAAAAACTGTAAAAATTAAAACACCCATATTACCCTGGTGCAGGAGAATTGTCTGTATTCTGTCAATCATGTTATAAATAAAGGCTGATTGGCCAGGCAGGAAATATAGGCGGGAAAACCAGACAGGAAGTAGAAATGATGTAATGAGAACAGGAGAATTCTGGGAAGGAGGAAGTTGATTCCTTCCACTCCTGCCTAGACCACAGAAGCAGCAGGATGTGATCTGCCCCACTGAAAAAGGTACTGAGACACATGGCTAAAAAAGATCAGAAAAATAGATTAATCAAGATGTGAGAGTTAGCCAGTGAGAGGCTAGAGCTAATGGGCCAATCAGCTTATAATTTATGGAGATTTTCTTTGGGGCTAAACAGTTGTGGGGTATCGGGCAGAACAGAAACACAAACAAACATTACATTACCCCCCCCCCCAAAAAAAAAAACTTTGCCAGCTATAGTTGAGGCAGGGTTAGTATCTAGAACATATAAAAATAACTGTAAAAATTAAAACACCCCAAATTCCAATCAGTCAACAAACACTCTAATGAACAGGGCTTCTCAAAAGAGACACAGATGACCCCACAAAAATTTGTAAAAGTATTCAACATCCCTCGTTACCAATAAAATGCAAATTAAAGGTACTTAAAAATTCCATCTCATTCCAGTCAGATGGCTAAGATCAACAAAGCAGCAGAAATGCTAGTGAGGATGGAGGAAAGAAGAACCTGTCCCTGACTGGGGGAGTATAAGCTGCACATCCACTATAGGAATCAGTACAGAGCTTGTCACTAAGACAGAATCATAGGACCCAACTATATCTTTCTTGGGTATGCCTCAGAAAGGTTTCTGGGTTCTACCACAGAGATAGCTTACTGCTGAAGTATTCACAATAACTAAGCAGCCCATCAGCAGATACATGAGTAAAGAAAACATGGGACATATATACAATGGAACCTTACTTGGTCAGGAAGAAAAGTGACATCATGACATTTTCAGGAAAATGGATGAGACTACAAATTGTTATGTGAAATAAAATAAGTCAGATTCACAAAGAAATACTGCATGATTTATTTTGTATATGAACCTTAGATTTTAATTGCATGTATGTGTGTGTGTGTGTGTATGTATGCAGGGAATGGGTACATGTCATGAAACTAGAAGAGGAACCATGGGAGTGGAAAAAGGTCTTAGGACGAAGAGACGAGACAAAGAGTAACAGAATACAAG